AACAGTGGAAAGGAAAAACTCCCTCATGAGGAAGAAACCTTTAGCAGGGCCAGGCTCAGGACAAGCGGCCATCTGCTTCGACCGGCTGGATCAAAACCTTAAAAACACTGAGGTGGAGGTTGACCATCTCAGGTTACTTCACTTGATAAAACTACCGGTAATTCAGATCATAAATCCAGTTCATATCCAATTAGTCATTTTGATTCCTATTCAATTACCTATTCAATACATCCATATAGAGTACAGTATAAAAGGATCAGGGCTGCCTGTTCTCACTTTCTGTTCATAACTTTAATGGACAGAACTTCTCAGTGTAGCCAGGGAGTGGTGGGAGTCCCGTTCAGTGGTCTCAGGGTTCTGTCTCTGCTATTCGCAGATTATGTGATCCTGTTGGCATCATCGTGTTGTGATCTTCAGCTCTTAATGGAGCGGTGTGAAGCCAAGTGTGAAGCAGCTGGGATGAGGATCAACACCTCCAAATCTGAGGTCATGGTCCTCAGTTGTAAAAAAGTGGAGTCTAGGTTGGGGGTGAGGTTCTGCCTTTTAAGTGGAAGAGTTCAAGTATTTCAGGATTTTTTTCATGAGTGGGGGAGGAATGGAGTGGGATATTGACAGACGGATCGGTGCAGCTTTTGCAGTAATGTGGACTCTGTGCTTGTCTGTTGTGGTAAAGACAAGTTTGTACTTTTAAGTTACTGACTGGATTTGTCTGGTTTCATGGATATAAATAACTGAGTATTATCAGCATAACAAAAATACATTTCCCATCTTGTTGTTTTTTAACTAATGGAAAGATATAAAATGTAAACAAATTGGTCCAATCACTGAACCCTGAGGAACTCCATGACATGCGCATGAAAAGTCATTATTAACATGAACAAACTGAGATTTTATCCGATAAATATGATTTTGAACAATGTTAAAGCCATTCCTGTAATACCAATGTCACATTTAAGCCTCTCTAATATAATATTGTGATCACAGTGATCTAACAGGACAAGTATGAGTCGGGTGGGGTTTAGTAGGAGTGCACCGATTGCAGTTTTCTGGCCCATCACTAATCACAGATTTCTAAAAAGTTTGACAGATTTGTTTTATAAGCAACACTGTCAGGTGTTATAAGGTCACAATGCACCTTCAATTTTCCAATATTATTTTATTGTAAAACAGACCCTTGAACAATATCCTAGAAACAATACAAACTTGTTTTAACTGGCCATGAAGTAGTGCTCTGAAATATGAATGAAGTTCAGACAATTGTTGTTAAAACACAAAAAAAAAAAATCGGTAAAATTGGTTTCTCATGCAAGTATCAGCTGATTTACCAAAATTAAGGCAATCGGGGTTGATTTATTGGTGCACCCCAATTTTTTGTGTGTTGATTCAATCCTTTTAATTAATACTTTAAAAGCTGTGATGAGTCACATTGTTCTGTTCATGTAGAAACTGCACCCCGCAGCAGTGTCCACTGTTTAATGGATGTTAATTTTTGATCACTACTGATTTTTGATTTTTTTTAATGTTTCTGCTCTGGGTCAGCTGCTGTATATTTAATTCTCCTGATAAATCTCGTGTGGCGTTGCTGACTGATAAACTCTGAGTTCAAGCAGCCAAAGCTGGGAAGTTTGGTAGTTATCAATTTTGTGTTGCATTTGTGTAGTTGTTTTTCTACTTTGTATTCACTTTGTTCACAGCAGCAAACTGTGGGAAAGTCTCAGATTTGATGAGAAAAATGAGCAGAGATGTCACAGAGGCTTTTGCCAACTTTGAATATCTACTTTAGTTGGTTAGTCTTTAAACTGACATGTAAGAGCTACTAGGAATGTTGTGTTTTAAGACATTTCACCTTTTTTGCCTCCTACGCTATCAGCAATGATGAAAAAAAAATTACCAGTTGGTTGAGCTGCCGCCTTTCAGTGAGAATGTCACCAGATCAAATCCCGGCCAGGGACTATTCTGGATGGAGTTTACATGTTCTCTCCGTGCATGCGTGGGTTTTCTTCAGGTACTCTTGTTTCCTCCCACAGACCAAAAACTTGCATGTTAGGCTGAGAACTCCAAATTGTCCCCATGTGTGAGCGTGAATGGTTGTCTCGTTTGTCCCTGTGCTGGACTTACGACCTGTCCAGGGTGTCCCCCACCTCTTGCACAGTGACTGCTGGATATGGGCACCAGTGACCCCCAGCACCCGAAAAGGAAAAAGTGGGTAAAGATATGGATGGATGGATGGATGGATGGATGGATGGATGGATGGATGGATGGATGGATGGATGGATGGATGGATGGATGGATGGATGGATGGATGGATGGATGGATGGATGGATGGATGGATGGATGGATGGATGGGTGGGTGGGTGGATGGATGG